AGGTCTATTGAAGGTCCCACCTTATCTTCAGCTGCACAGCAACAAGGAGAAAACAACCAGAAAATGGAGGAACCCTGTCCTACTGAATGGATGATAAAACACAAAAAATGAGCCATTTATGGCTAAAAATTAAACAATGTTTGGATTTTATGCTCATTTGTGCAAAATGTGACAAACCTGCATCCTGACTTTCAATGGTGCTCTGCTTTAAGAGGAAAATCAATCTCTCCTCAGGAAACAAAAACGCAAGCGTAGAAACTGTGTATAAGTGAAGTGCATGACTTACTGACTGTAGGCAGTTCAGCTGCAAACCTCACGACGACGTCAGTGATGATCCTGAAAAACTAACCCTGGGAGTAGTATTGCCAAAAGTTGCCACAAGGTGTGTGATGATTGTTTTATTGCTGTAATAAATCAACTTGGAGATCTACCAAAGCCAACAGAGAGTGCATTTGTTGCATATCTTATAACTGATATCCAGCTGACTGAGACAGATGAATGTCTTCTGTGTTAGATATGAAGCTAAAGGAAAACCTAATGAACCTGTTTTAACTGGAACGTAGATCATAGATATGAAGGACTCTGAAGGTGAACTGACAGTAAAACAGCACCCCTGAATGCTCAAAGAGTAAATCTGAACTTGTAATTTAGCAACTGCAGCGCAAGACGTTTGGCTGTTTGCGAGGTTCAATCGATGCACTGAAGGAGCGTTTTCCTCTTGAGTTGCTGCACGTTTGCATCTGATTTATTCTTGATTTTGTTCATTCAACCTTTATTTAAACAGGTTAGTCCCATTGAGCCACGAGGACTCATTTACCAGAGACCTGAACTTAACAGAGTGATGACAACAGTGGATACAATGACAACAATAGACAATCACAAATGATTCATACAAATTAAAAAAAAACATTTCTTTAACAATTGAATACAAAACGATAATTAAAAGGGAAACAGCAAAAGAACAGCTAGAATACAAGGCAGTGTAGAAACCTAAAAACAGGAACATGTCTGCAGTGGTTCTTGCCAGGAACTTAACAAATGTTTAAAACCACTTAGAGAGGTCAAGGTCGAGAGCTTCAGATCTTTTTACAAGATATTCCAAGAAACAGAAGAGGAGTAGGAGAAGGCCCTTTTGCCTAGTTCAGTCCTCACTGAGGGAATACTGCAGGTAATAATGTCCTGAGAGTGCACGTTGTAGCTGCACTCACGCAGAGACGTAGGAGGAGATGTATGAAGGCAACAGACCAAGAAGTGATTTAAAGATGAAAATGTACCAGTGAGAGAGTCTGCGTGAAGTTAATGATGTCCAGTTAACCAGTGAATACAGGGTGCAGTGGTGGGTACGGTAGTTACAGCCAGTTATGAATCTTAGTGCAACGTGATAGACAGCATCCAACATCTGCAGGGTGCTTGTAGGAGCGCTCATGTAAATAATGTCACCGTAGTCAATGGAGGGAAGGAAAGTCACAGATACAAGTCATTTCCTAGCATTCAGAGTTGGACAGGATCTGTTTCTGAAAAAGAAACCCAGTTTTACTTTGTTTCTTTACCAAATTTTCCATGTGAAGCTTAAAAGAGAGATGTGAGTCGACCAAGATACCCAAATATTTGTAGGAATCGACAATCTCAATAGGGACACCATTTGAGGCTAAAATCAGAGGAAGAACTGTTAGGGTTGGCTTCCTGTTTGAAAAAAACATCCCTTTGGTTTTGTCTGCATTTAGGACAAGTTTGAGACGGAACAAAACTCACTGGATGATGTCGAAAGTGGATTGCGAAAGCTGGAAAACCTTAGCAACTGTTGTAGCTTGACAGGAAACAAATGTGTCATCAGCGTAGAAGTGTAAGGATGAATCAGGGATGCTCGGACCTACATTACCTATGTAGATTGTAAAGATGGTGTGTCCTAAGACTGATCCTTGTGGTACACCATTGTTAACTGTTACATAACTGGAGGAAATACCATTATATTGAACACACTGCCTCCGATCTGAAAGATAGTTAGAGAACCAACCAACCTAAAAGAGGTGGAAAAAAATATTCCAGCTGTGCGATGCTTGTTTTGAATTAATGAAATAAGCAAAAACCAGACTGCGTCAGTCACACGCCCTCATTTTTAGTCTTTTTATTCAGTGATAAATAATTTCCAATGATCATAGGCTTTAATGTGTAGACATCCGATCAAGGCAGGAGACAAATCAGAGGGCACACACGCTGCCACCATTAGAAAATAATAGCAGAAACAAAAAACAATGAGGTAAGAAGTTCTCTTTTTTTATACATTTGTGGTGCTTCTATGTCTGTTACCTATACTGTTGAATGCACAGTGCTTCCTAATACAGAAATCCTGCCTTTTTGTGTCATCTGTACATTATTAAACAAAAACAGGCCATGGCACAATACGAAACCAACCGAGGCAGAATGTATAGATCGGCTGTATACATCGTCAGACCGAGAGGAAGAGAAGCCAAGCAGGAAACTAAAATAGAAGAACATTTTTCTTGAACAGAGCGACTGGGAATGTTTCAACACACACACACATTCCATGAGAGATCTGAGTGTCAGTAGCTTCTATGATCCCGTACGGTTGAGTATAAAAAGGATGTCTAGAAATATGTGGACCAGTGATAGGTCGACTGGAAGGGAAAAAATACTTATAACTACCAATCTACTGCTTGTTAATGATAGTAAATTATAAATATTAACATCATGAAATGCTTTGTGAGCATGAAGAACTGTTTTATTAAAGACTGGCTCTGTGTAACCTGCAGATAGGTCTTTAATGTTTATATTCTGGTCTAATTTCACAGATGGAAGACTTTGTGTGCCCGAATCTTAATCTGGGCAAAGCAAAAGATTTCAAACTGTACGGTTCATGTCAACCAACAGGAACTGGTGGGAAAATAGAAGTGTTAGGAGTTAACAGTGATGCATCGTTCTCGCAGTCGGTGAATGTAAAAAACATGCGTTGCCTCTCAGCCTAACGTGGCCTTCAGGGTACATCAAAGATGATGTCAGCTGTGGTCAGGACTGAGATAACCTTCAAGATTTAGCAGAGAATATGAAGTCTGGTGATTTGTTTCCCCCAGAGATGCAAATGTTTTCAGGTGGCAATAAATGCAGCGAGCTGAACTGCCATTTTGTGCAAATTTGATCAAATGTGACCTAAAATATTCACTTCATGCCCTGCAGCTAACTGAAGCAGTTTCACATAAGTGAGAAGTGAAAAGACCAGAATAACCAATATCTTTTCCAAACGAGACGTGGAAACAGAACTACTTTAAATGTAGGTATGGACAGTGCACACACGAGACAGAAGGCGATGTATAGTCAATAAAAAGTGTGTTTTTGCTTCCATTTTTTTTTAAACATACGATTGCTTCTCCTGCTTTTTCTACTTGTTCTACTCTCATTTTCAGATGCTGCCAGCTGGGTAAAGTCTGCACAACAAATCTATTTATAACCAGCGCTAGAAAAACCTCTTGTGAAAATGTATAGAAAGTTTCAGACCTGCATGTGAGACATTTTCTTCTTATCTCCTGTAATCACTCAAAGAGTATGAATTAAGACAAGAAGAGTCAGATCGTCTCAACATACTGATGACTACTAGTAGAGAAATCTTAATTCATAACAAGTCTGCTAATCTATACTTTGCTAAACATCTATTGGTGGCTTTAGGAGCTTTAATTGCAAGATGTTCTTTAAACAACTATGAAAATACATAATGGTGTGTGTGTATGTGTGTGTTACATTCCCAGTCCTCTGGAGCAGCATCCCGTGGCACAGTGCCATGCATGGACCTGACCTGCAGTCCCAGTGCCGTCACTGTATAAACGACCAAATAAAAACTGTTCCTGGCTCACTTTTTCCCTTTCAAACTTTAGAGAATACCACGGATTGTCCACATTCGTGTGTATTTCCACACCATACTGTATGTCGTTTTATTTTTCATGAAGTCAATACTGTCCAAAGCATGTGCAGCGGTGTTTAACTTTAGAGGATACTTTCTAATGGCTGCATGGCTAGACTTAAGCAAATACAGGAGAGGAGTTTATGTTCAAATGGTTATTTTCTAGATTCACAGTAGGGATGGGCGTCAGCATGTTGAATTTAGCTGAGCTGCCTTCACTAATACTTTGTTGCTGTCTGTATAAATAACTACGCATGGAGTGGCATTCTCCTTCCTCGTTTTGCGGGAGAGGTCACCCCTCGCCACTCCTACGTTTCAACTGGAGAAGATAAAGAGGAAGCACACCTGCACCTAGCTCTCATCCACAGCTGTGCGCCAAAACAGCTGGATCTGCAGCTGCTCTCAGCTACACACCTGGGGCTGTGAGATACGGCAGACAAAAACACGACCTGCTCTCAAGCCAAGCCCCTGTTCAAGGGTTCAGTACAGCGAACCTCAATAACGCCGACGCTACTTCGGTCGCGAGGCGACAGGCATGGAAGAAAAAAGAGGAAATTGTACAAAAAGAGAAAACTGAAAATAGCAGAAAGAAGCCATAAATAGCAACTGGAGCGGTCGTGACGAAGCAGACGAGTGCTGAGGGTGACTGGAAATCAAGTCGAGGAGTGGCTGCAGTGGTCCTCAAGAAATGTGAGCCAGCATTGTGGCTGCGGTTGCCATGACAGCGGCAAATTAAGCACCCCCCGCCCCCCTTTCAGCAGAACAACAGAGGAGACGGTCGTATCTGAAATCAGCAGCGGCAGGGTGCAGCGAAGGCCTCAGCTTCCCTCCGCCACACTCCTCCCCTCTCGTTGTCCCCGTGTCCCGTTTTATCGGTTTGTGATTTGTTGGGGGGGGGTTTGTCTTTTAGTGTTTAGGTTCTCCACGGTGCTGCGGTCCCTTTGACGCATAAGCAGGGGTCTTTCCTGATTTCAGGCGCTGGGACAAAGTTAGTTGTTTATCATTTTCAGTATAGTTTGTTTGATTCTGTGAATCCCAGAAAACTTTCAGAGCCTCTTGTGTTAGTCCAGAGGCTGGCATGGTGCAGTCCTCAGCCCGGGAGACAAACTTTCCCTGCAAACAGCAGTCCAACTATGGTGAAGAAGATGGAGAGGACGAAGAGCACGTACGACGAGCCGACCACCGTGTTGTTGGGCAGCTTGTACGGCTGACCTCCCACCTCGTTGATATAGAAGCCTATTGGGAAGATGAGCGCTGCCATGCAGAACAGGATCACTGGAGGGGAGAGAGAAGCAGAAGCAAATTAATACACTGAATATTTTGAAACAAAAAAAAAACACTTTTCTTTTTAAACCCTAGGCTGTCTTGGCATAAACAGGTCAAAGTTCCCTAAAAGTCTTTTTGCAATTACTACCGTAAGGCTATTGTTCATTTCACTTGTTACAGGGGTTGTTAGAAAAAGCGGCGAGTAGTTTTAATTTTTCCATTCTGTTTTCTGTGTAAAACAATATACTTTAAAATGTTACAAAGATTACTGTAGTTGGTTTCAACCTGGAGTTTGTGTTCATAATGTGGGGATTTAAACCATATTTAAAAAGGCATCACTGACCCATTAATACTGACAAAATAACAAATAGAAAAACAAGTTTTAACAGAACTTTTAAATGCCAGACAGAAGGATTGAACAAACATTCTTTAAAATGCTAAACCTTTAAAGAATCAAGGGGTAAAAAGTGGAGACAAAGTCAGTTACATTTCATTGATGATCCGAGTCAATGATAGATTTTAAAATCTGAACTAAAGATCAACCAATCCCTTTCCTGAGGATCAAATTGTACATCTGTGTAGATTTTCAGCTAAGGAAACCAACTGCATGCATCATGGCACACAAAGCAGATGAATTATGTCCAGGCAGACTGCACGTATTGTGTTGCCATGGCAAAATGTACGCATTCGCCAAGTGCACTTGGCACAAAATGCTTGGTATTAATTTCCTGCTAGTTCAATTTAACAGTTTTTACTGCGGCTGACAAATGCAAACGCTGGTTAGACCGCTGATTGTATTTTCTCCACGAAATTCATTTCACTTAATCGTTAAAATAGAAAAAAAAAACAATGATACTTTTTGTATTCCATGTAGGACAGTGCACAAGAATAATGAACTCTTCGGCGTGTTTAAATAATCATCTGTATTTTATTTTCCCCAAAATATCTCTGAAGATCTTACTTTGAAAATACACAGCAGATGCCCAAATAAATGAGCTATTCTGATTAAATTATTTTATAAAAGGCATTCTGTATCCTTTTACTATTTTTATATAAATTAATTTTTTATTACAACAGCAAATATCCTGAACAGATACATAATTATATTTAAATATGCTATTGATCATACCAAAAATGAAATACAATAATTGTGCTGTTTGACGAAATATTATTTTTGTTATTGCAACATTATGCGTTTCAAAATGACAATTTGAACAGAAAAAGAAAATGTTTCCTGGTGTATGGAATAACTCGTGGTCCTAATGAAGTTAAAATAGTTGAGAATGCTGAGAATAATAGCTATTTTATCTTCAAAATAAAGAATAATGAAGAGGACTTATGAGACTTAAAAGAATAGACTTTTCTTGTACTTGTTAACATTTTGTGACGTATTTAACTGAACCTTAAATCCTTTCAAGAAGTTTTACCCAAATGATGGACACTGTACAGCGACTGTGCCTAAAATGTGTGTAAAAATATTTACAGTACAAACACATGTGGTCGGTGCAGATGTGTTTTTGACTGAAGGTGTGACAGACAGAACACAAGCTGACGCTCAGTTTGTCCCTGAACAGCTTCAACGTGCAACAGCTTTACAGTAACGTATTTCCACAACTTTTTCCTCACAGATCGCTCATTATGTCTCTTTAATATTTTCCCTTTTTGTTGTAATCCATTAAAAAATTTAAATAATCCATCTCTCTTATAACACTAGGAACCATTCTTCATCATAGGGAAAACATTTTTAGCTAATTGCTAACAAATTCAAGTTTGGAAGTTTTTAATGTTGTAAAAATTATTTTTAAAAATCAGACTGGATCAGTATATTATTAAGAACTAACTCTGAGATTTAAAAAAATGTTTGAAATTGTTCCAAACATTTGAGTAAGGATTTCTACATAAACTATAAGCAAGCTTTTTAAACCACCTCAGGCTGATTTGATACACTTCTCTATAAGGAGCAAAACATAAATTAATAAATGATGTCAAAGATATTAGCTAATAATGTTGGAGCTTTACACAACAGGTCAAACGAGAGGAATAATTTGTTGATCCATCTATGAGCATAATTTATGACCATTATAAAGCTTATAAATTAGAATTTGCATGATTTCTAGAGTGTGAAACTGAAAATGAAGTGTTGTCATTCTGGAAAATAAAGCCACAAGTTTGCTCATGTACAGAAAACGTTGTGTAACGATCTTTACAAGATTTGTATTTGTGTTAAAAAAATACAAATAAAAAAGAGAGAAGAACAAGAGAAAAATACAAAGTTTTGGGGAGTATTCTTTAAACATACCCATACAATACATTTATAATAAATACAATTACTTAGTTTTTGTTGACAGTGAAGTAAGTCACGCAAGAATGTACCGGTACATGTAATAACTCGGATTTCCAAAACTCCTTCAAAGTCAACGCATATTAAAGAGTTAGCTGCTTTTATTTATCTGATCCAATTCCACAGGTAGAAGTAAATGCACAGATCGGCGCGCTGTGAAACCTGCATCAATCCCAGTGGGATTAATTAGGTGAGCGTTGACCACATCAGGAGGAGAATCAATTATTCACGATGGACATGTCTCCCAATAACTGTGATGTTCTGCTCAACATCAGTACGGTGGGTCAACACCAGCAGAGCGACGCAGAGGCCATGAGGAGTAAAACCAAGAAGAAGTCGCAACAAACTTCAGGAAGTACGTTTCCAGGGATTAAATAGCAAAGCTGCTACTGATTAAAATGGCAGTTTCCTTCTGTTTTCTTTGCTGATATTATGACAAACTTGTGGTGCGGCTGAGGCCACTTACACAACGCGGTGTGGTGATAAAAAGAAACGGTTACTATAGAATCACATATCTGTGGCAGCAAGTATTTACTGTAAATCTTAGCCTCTTAAACACTGGCAGATGAAATAACTTTTTTCTATTTGCTCTCATAGATGACCATTTCTTATTATACTCTGTCTGGAAGAGCTAAATCACAATGTAAATGTCATTATTTAACACAATAATGTTATTCTAAGGAAAACACGACATCATGTGGGTTATTTCCCCATCAAATAATAACAAAAGCTTGTAGTTACACAGACTAAATGAAAAATGTTTAATGGCACATTTAGCCTACAGTTTGGCAAAATACAGTTAGTTTTTAAGAAAACAACAACAAAAACTAACAGACACAAAGTATGCACTTTAAATCCATGATTCTAATGGTTTATTAGAGCAGTTTGTGAAAAAATCTTTTTATTTCTTGATGAGTGAGTCTATGTGTAGTCAACTGCACTGAAGCGCTTCCCCATTTAAAGTTTTCTGTATTTTTAAGGCACTAATACAGTCTACAGCAGGGGTATTCAATTAAAACTTGCTGAGGCCCAGTTACTAAAAGTTGCTCCTAATAAAAGGTCCAGCATCTTCAGAAATCAATAAATAAAAATGTCTCTTTTAGGGAAAAAAAAAACTGAAAACAGAGCTTTTAACAACACCTTTTTTCTTTTGATTATTCTTTATTTTATCTTTATTAATGAGAGAAATGGACATGGAATTGTCCTGCCATGGATTTAAATCCTGGTTGGAATGGAGTCAGAGCCATTCTCATGTAGGAAGCTGAGCATCAGCAGACTCATCGATGACTCTGAGCAGCAGCTGTGCCAGAACATCTGCTAATACTTCTGATTTTCTGCTTGCTGTTGAAGCTGACATCGGGATTTGTTTAATTTTTTTCTACACATCTCGTCTTTTTGTTAAATGTCTCAACAACAGCATTTAAGCACTCCTTCAGGACTGTCCCATCACTAAATGTTTTGTTATGTTGCCCCAAAACCCACGATGCCTTGAGTTAACATTCTGCACGCTGCTGGGCTGTAAAAGTACTTGTGATGAGGAGGGTGGATCTTTCATACGGGGCTTGCAGTTCAGTTAACTGCTCGGACTTCAGCAGATACCGTTGCACAAAAGAGATGAAGAGCGCTTCACGTTGCCACTTTTAATTAATGCGACCGTTTCAGAGCATATGAGACAAACAGGTTTTGAACTGCCTGCCGGAAGAAAGAACATTAATTTTTCTGTCCATTCATCTTTAAAACAGTGGTTTTCAGCATAAACTTTTCTTATTTTGGAGCACGACATGCTGACTCTTCTTCTTTCCTCCTTCTCAGCTCGTCTCGGGTGAGAGCTCGCTGCACCAGCAGTGCAGGAAAAACACAAGATTTGATTGGCTCATTAACTGAGTGACGCTGTTACCCTAATACCTGAAGTAGAGTGAACCTCCAAAACACACCTCCTGCAGCTCTGCACCTAAGCTGTCTATCGCTGGAAAAATGCTCCATGAAAATTATTTATTTTCATGAATTTATCAGATTGGGCACAGGTCCAGACAGAACCATCACTAGTTCCGGATTCGGACCGAGGTCCGCCTATTAGTGACCTCTGGTCTACGGTTTTAAAGACTTGGTGGGCACAACCCAAGTACAAAACACCGTCACCGTACTGATGATCCATATTTCCATTCATGAACTGTATATCTGTCAAACTAACATGCACATGAATCCTAGAATATGGGTTTTTAAAGTAAAACTACAGTGATAATCAGTTTATATAAATCTCTATGCAAACTAAAAATAGCCCAGGTTGAAAATGGCGAGTAGACACTTGACAAAAGGATAAGTTGCTCACAGTTGTCATAGGAACCTTCTTTTTTTTCCCTTTTAGGTGTGATTGCAAAACAATGAGTCAACTTTGTCTGCTTTAGCCTAATGGAGATCAGGTCTGTGGAGTTGTTTGGGATTCTGAACACGAGGTGATTCATCAGCTGATTAGGAAGCGTTACAAAAACTACAAAACTGTGCGAGACCAGAAAAACAAACGGGAGCAAAGAGGAAAAAAATAACTGTTGGTGAAAACCTATAGCCCATTTTTTCCCCTTTTTGTGTCAGCTGTCTGAAAAATGCTTCCAGCTTTCTATCAATAATACAACCATTGTGCCTCCAGCATACCGCCGCTCCATCTGTGTGAGCGTGCTCAGGGCTGTTAGCTGACCCAGTCAAACGCCACGGGCCCACACATCTTCAGAACACCAGCTTGGGTACAACTTACAAAATGGATGTGGTTTACTGTTGACGGGCATTTACAAAAAAAGTAAACTGTATTTTTCAAGGTAAAGAGGGACATTAAACACTAGAGAATGACACATAAACCACCCACTCGTATACCAAAGAAAGTGCATTAGACCATAAATCAGCTTAAGGGGGCATGAGGAGCATAATGAACCTATTTACACACAAACTGAGCTAGGTGGCATTTATCCTCACACTGAACCTATTTAAGCCTTTCTCCTTTTCTTCTCACCTACTATAAAAAGGTTTTCATTAAGTCATGTTGGGACTGTGAAGGACAAGAAAGTAAGAAATGTGCTGACAGTGAGGACAGCTCTTCCACTCAAAGTAAATGTCAAGGTCTTCTTTACTTACTGCCAGTGAAGGCGATCCAGCGGGCATATTTGGTGGCCTCTCGGCGCCAATGTGATGCCACGAGAAGTCCACAGGTGACCGTGAGGGAAATGATGCCCATGATGATGAAGAAAAGCGTGGTGACCCACTCGGGAGGCAGCCGTGGTGGGATGCAAGTCCGATCCCGTCCGTGGATGGTCTGACATTGTCGAACGAGACCAACAGTAAGGGCGCCTGTGAAGACGAGACGAAAGCAAGATGAGCTGCCATTTTACTTTCATTCATCATTTATATTAAAAATCATGAAGTAAAACAAAAAATAGTTCACTTGTTGCTAAAGCCCTTTAAGGGACAGTTCAGATCATTTAAAGTGGCATTCTGTAGAAAGGGTATTCCACTAAAAATACAGATATTCCTGCCCCAGGCTGCACAGGACCTGCTAGCTGCTATTTCTATTTGTGCTAGCAAAGACCATAGAAAAAAAGTCTACAAAAATAACTGTGTGGTGTGAAACAAAGTCATATAAAAGTTTGGAAATATAAACTTTTAAAATTTGCACAGTTTTAAGGTGGAAGCGATCCATTTTGATTTTAGCTCTGCTTGGACTAGAAGTTAGCTCAACAATTACACTTTATATTTTTTATTAAAAAAATAGACTGCGGGTAAGCTAATATTAGCTCATCACTTTTCCACAAAGTCCCACTTTCAGCTGCCCACTGATCCACCCGGGTGTATCTCAGACACGATGGGTTAAATGCAAAGAGCTAATTTCGCCATTGTATGGGAACATACAATGGTGACAACACATAGCATTTATTAGGCCCGAGCAGCAAAGCGCTGCGAAGGTCTATTGTAATCGTTCAGTTCATTAGGCCCGAGCAATTTTTCCTTCAAATTGGCCTTTCGGGGGCCTCAACATATCCCAAAACTCACCAAATTTGGAGGATGCATCAAGACTGAAGAAAAATGAACTATTTTAAGGGTGTCGTAAAAATCGAAACAGAAATGACTCAAGAGCGACACCTGGAAATTTTCAAAATACTCTCTGCATTACTCTTAGTTTGTTGTAGAAGCATGAAATTTAGTACACTTGTCCAATTCCCCAAGATGCACAGAAAATCCTCTGGGACCAACGTTGTACAATAAACAGGAAGGTGGCCATTTTGGAATGCCTTCCCAATTTTCACACCTTTTTGGTGGTTTACAGCCTCTGCATTTGAACAAAATCCTCCTAGGGATTTCGTGCAATGGTTTCTAACTTGGCCATTTTGGTCAAAAGGCATGGGAGACGAAAAGTTATCTAAACGGTGCGTTTTGGAGCATGCTGAAGGGGCAGGGCCAGACCTCAATGTGTGACATCTCACCATGAAAAATGAAATGCTAATAGCTCCTATAAGAAAACTGTTTGAGACATCAAACCTTCAGTGATGGATCCACGTTCGGTCCCCTGCAAGGCTGAATGGTCAAATCATGACATCACTTAAGTCACACCCCTGACAACAGGAAGTGTAAAGTTTTACGTTGAACGGTCCTTATCTGACCCCTGTGACGTAATCAGCATGATAGTGTGTCCAGTGACTGAAGACATGTTGGTGTAACTTGCTTTCCAACACCGATAGTTTTGGGTGGAGCATGTGAGCGGAGCGACGTGGCAAAGTAAGACGTAACGCCGTTGCCATATGTTTAGCTCTAAATTCCACAGATTTGAGCCAAGGTGCACCAAAATCAGTACGATCGATCATTATCCACTCCTCGAACAGGAATCCATGATAAGTGGCCAATAGCCTCCACAGCGCCCCCTAGAATATTTTAAAACCTCAGCCCCAAGCCAATTTATGAGTGATAATTCTGAAACTCAGCAAAAATCTGTATCTTCTCAGGACCTATGAAAAAGTCTCTTGGAGCCCTGGTCCAAACTCAACAGGAAGTCAGCCATTTTGGTTCAAATTATCATTTTTGGGCGTTTTTCAGTTTTCATACATGGCAAATTTTAACAAACTCCTCCTAGGAATTTTGAAGGATTGCTTTCAAACTTGGTTCACATGCCCTTAACACACTGGGGAGTAACAACTATCAAAAGCTTGTGTTTTCGTATATGCTAAACGGGTGTGGCCAGACGTCAAAGTTGCGCTTCACGCCAACAATTTCCAAACGTTATAACTTTCACATTAAAAGACCGAATTGCACCAAACTTGGCATGACTCAACCCTGTTGGATGCCCGACGATCCTCTCATCATATTCTGAGGTTATCAAAGCCCCATGCCCTCAAAACAGGAAGTCACTTTTTTTTTTACTTGGACAGCTCACTCCCTGACATCCTTGACCTAATCAGGATGCTCCTATGTTAGAAGACATTTAACAAGTTGGTCTGACTTGCTTTAAAGCGCAAACCGTTTTTGCTGGAGGATGTGGGCGTGGCGGCATGGTGAATTAAGAAGTGACGCCGTTGCAATACGTTTGGCTCTAAATTGCACAGATTTGAGCCGAGGTGTACCAAAATCAATATGATCGATCATTATTCACCCCTTGAACAGATATCCATGATAAGTGGCCAATAGCCTCCACAGCGCCACCTACATTATTCCTACAGTTATAGCTCAGTGATACATCATACAGTACGATCTGCACCAGATTTATTGTGCTTCATCGGTGAGCATTTCTACACACATTGGTATTGTTGTTAAACATTTGACTAAAGTTCGCCCAATACATTTTTCGAACTGTTAGATATCAGTGATACATCATCTGATCTGTACCAGATTTATTGTGTGTCATCATTGAGAACTTGGACACACATTGGTTTCAGTGTTTCCCCTAGTTAGCTTGCCATGGCGGGGTGCTCATCTCATCCATGTTTTTGGCTGATGGGGGGATGGAGACATGTCTGAGCGCAGCTTGTACTAACAGTTTTTGAACGGGGACAGGGGGCGTTCAACATGAGGGAAGAGGCAACGTGAGTGCTGCCTTTGGCTTTTTAGCTAGAGAGCCTGTATTTTGCGCTGCTACCTTAGTGATATGTCAGTGTCGGGTGGGGGTGGGAGGGGCAAGTTCAGTTTGGTAGGCAGGGTGCTCAGTTTTGTTTTGTTTTCTGTATAATGGTAGGGGAAACACTGGGTTTTGTGGTTTAACAATTGACTCCAGTGTGCCCTCTAGATTATTCCAAGAGTTCTATCTCAGTGATACATCATCCAATTTGAAACTGATTTTTGGTGCTTTATCAGTGAGCACTTCTAGACACATTGATATTGTGGTTTAACATATAACTCTAGTGCACCCCCTAGATTATTCCAACAGTTATATCTCCGTGATACATCATCTGATCTGCACCAGATTTTCGGTGCATCATCTTTGAGCATTTCTACACACATTAGTCAAATGTTGAACAACAATACCAAAATGTGCCCAATACATTATTCAAACTGTTAAATATCAGTGATACATCATCCAATCTGTACCAAATTTATTGTGCCATCAGTGAGAACTTGGACACACATTGGTTTTGTAGTTTAACAACTGACTCCAGTGCACCCTCTAGATTATTCCAACAGTTCTATCTCTGTGATACATCATTCAATTTGAACCTGATTTTTGGTGCTTTATCAGTGAGCACTCCTAGACACATTGATATTGTGGTTTAAAATATAACTCCAGTGCGCCCCCTAGATTATTCCAACAGCTATATTTCAGTGATACATCACATCATCCGATATGCACCACATTTATTGTGCATCATCAGTAAGCATTTCCACACACATTGCATTGTTGTTTAACATTTCACTCCAGTGCGCCCCCTAGACTATTCCATGAGTTATATCAAGGGCTGCAACAATGAATTGATAAAATTCGATAAAAATCGATGATTAAAAGCGTTGGCAACGAATTTCATTATCGTTTCGTTGTGTTGCGCGATTATGCGTCTTTCATGGCGCTGCGGAGCCGTTTTGTTCACCTGCAGTTCATTGTCAATGCTGACTGACTGAATAAAGTTTGAAAAAAAAAAAAACTCTGTAGCGCGAGTTGAACAGAGCGAGGGGGGAGGTGGAAGCAGAGCAGAGACGGTGTTTTCAAAGGAAATTAAATACATTTTACAAATGACAGACGCAGAGAAAACTGTTCAACCCAAGTCCTCCAAAGTGTGGGAGCACTTCACAAAGATAAAAACTGCGCAACATGCAGCTTTGAAAATGTGACGACATGACACGGGAACACCACGCTGATAAACGTAAACATGTCGAAGTCATGAGGAGGAGGAAGCAGCTGAACAGCAGATACAACTCATCTCACTCCCAACTCATGTGTTGGCAGGTGAGTCTCTACAATATTCTACATTTGTTCTGTTTCCAATTGAGAAAACGTAACTTCAGTCTCTCTGTAGCTGAAGCTGCTGCTTGTTACAGTGATAGAGAATGTGTGTGTGTTAGTTTTAATTTAATTTAATTGGTACAAGCAGTGTTTAAATGTGACTTATAAATAAATCTAACACGAAGATAATAATTTAATGATTAAGCTTCAACTTTTAATTTGCTGGCAAATTCTGAAGACACTGCATGTATGGCAGGATGATTTGCATTTAAACTGGCATTAAAGTAATTTATTACATCTACTCAAATGTGTGTAATTAAGTATTTTGTGTGTTTGTGTGTGTTTAATTGCTCTTTGGACTACTTATTTGCCTTAACCTAACACTGTAAGTGAAACAAGGCATTTCTTGAGTTGCTGTAAATTATTCTATAATACATATAAACTCTCTCATTCCAGAAAACAACAACAAACAATGACAGCCTTCATGATGGACAGACATCATGCACACCACAGCAGCAGCTGTCTTCACTGAAAACATCCTTAACATGATCGTCACTGACACAAGGCCTCTGTCGATGGTTGAAGACGAAGGCTTCACTACAATGATCCACACTTTTAATCCAGGTTTCAATAATCCACACTTTTAATCCAGGTTTCAATAATCCACACTTTTAATCCAGGTTACACTCTTCCCTCAAGGACACATTTTACAAAGTAGCTACATATTGTGCAGGTATAAAGATACATTTATCTATATTTTTGTGTACATTTATTTTTTTAAGCTATTTGACTAACTTATTTTTTATTACTCAATATTTTACTAACAGAATAGTCCAGTAGCAACCTGTTTTTGAGCGAATTGCTATGTCAGTCAAATATTAAATTTTGGAATAAAGGGGTGGAAATTAAAACATTTTTTAAATCCGATTCACCGATTAATCGAGAAAATAATCGGGAGATTAATCGATTACATAAATAATCGTTAGTTGCAGCCCCAGTTATATCTAAAGGATACATCATCTGATCTGCACCAGATTTTTTTGTGAGACATCAGTGAACACTTGTATACACATTGGTATTGTTCTTTAACATTTGACTCAAGTGCGCCCCCTGCATTATTGACATGACATGTTGAAAGGCATGAAGGACATGCTCGTCAAACATTTGCCACAAAACAGGAAGTCAAAATAACTCCTGCCTGGAAGGTTGGATTTCAGACAAACTTGTAAGGCTTGCAGCTGGACTCATACCAATGTGGGCAGAAGGTGATTTTGAAAATTCGTCATATGCGCACCCTGGTGGATGTATGCGGGAATGGAATGAGCGCGTTCACGACTGCGACTGGGAGGCGTTGCTGGAGCGCCCAGTCTCAGGTGATGTCGAAGATTTGCCAAATGCGCACCCTGGTGAACGAGTGCAGGATAGGCACGAGAGCGTTGGCGATGGCGACTGGGTGGAGTAGCTGGAGCTCCCATGGTCGCCGTAAGGCCAGAGCGGAGCTTTGCTGCGAGGGCCTTCAATGCTGCTTGCAGCTTTGATTATTATTGTTATTATTATTATTATTGCTTGAAAAGATTTGAAGTATGGCTTTAATTTTTGTGTAGTTGAACACTGTCAGAGTTGCAGCCTCTTTAATCACCCTCAACTTCAGCAGGACTTTCAAAGAAGCTCTGAACATTCATGACAAAATGTGCTCGGAGTAATTTTATTCTTAATAATTTCATTACGAAACCATAACAAAAATATTACTTGAAAATTTAACATTAAAACATTAACTATTTACAGTCAAATATTTGGCAGAAAATAAGTGGAAAAATTTTGAGCAAACAAGCACACAGTGTCAAAACTACAGAAATTACATGAAAAGCAGCTCCTTTTAAATGCTACATATTCATCTGTGGTCTCTTGTGGGCCCAGTCATGCAACTCGCCAACAATTGTTCCCTCCTTTGCACACTTGTGTGTAGAAAGTGATTAATAAACCAACGTTGCCAGGTACTGAATGCTTCCTACGTCGCTGATATTGGACAGAGTCGCATCAGCTTCAAAAGGCTCTTTGTAAATGTGTCCAAACTATCCATCCTCAGCTAAAAACCCGTGCCAACCATCCAGTTTGTCCTCTCTCTCTCTGTTAAGTGCTCGGTTAAAGATGATCAACAATGCAAGTTTACATGCTTCACTATGCTTTTCTATCATTGATCAGGAGACAAATGGATCCCTAGATCAAAGCGAGTCACGAGCAGACCTGTGTGAGCTTAAAGGGCAGCGCTGAGAGCACCGTGCTCCCGCAGCACTGCCTCCTCTGAGACATCCCATTCAATTAGAGCCCAAACTTAAGGGGCTTTCTATCCGAGTAAGCAGAACGGTGCCGTGCTGCTCAGTGCTCAGGTCCCTGCTGACCACAGCCCTCTTTAAACGAAAGGTGGACTCTATCTGCAGGGGCAGAACGGTTCGGTTAAAACAAAGATGTCGAGTAAGATGTGATGTGATAAAAGGGTCACACCGTGAGATAAGCAAACTGGGCTCTTTTAGTTTCAGGCGTGAAATACAACACTTGTTGTTTAATCAAACAAGAACACAATCAGATTTTTAAGATTTACTGATCTCTGTCAAGATTTGTGAGTTTAAGCATTAAATGAGTGAAACTGTTCTGAAAATATAAAATCCTATTAGTCAAGTGTTGCTAGTGTTTTAGTTAGACAGAGTACCAAAACCACACCTATGAGACAAAACATCTTTGCATGCAGAAACAGAATTAAGAAAATCTTGACCTTGATAGTAAAACTTACTGCCACATTTTTTCCTTGAAGAAGCAAAACATCTTCGATGTCTGTGTAGATTCCCTAAACTACCGAACCAGAAGTCCACTTCACATTAAAATACTTCCTGTTACAACATCGTCATGGCTGATTTAATCCACGTCAACAGACTTTATTTAGTCAAAAAAGTGAAAATCTTTTAAAAATGAATTAAACTAAATTAATTAGCCTCCAATACACAAGCTATTAACATTCTAAATGATTTAACATTGCTTTACCAAAGGTTGAATAGATAAATTTAGGATGAGACTCCTCAATGTTTTGTCACAGAATAAAATAATATTAATAAACATTATGAGTAAAAGAATAAATAGAAAACGTACATAATTGTCAATCAAACACCTTTAATACCTGAGGAGATAGTTCCTGCTAGTTTGTCTGGAGTTGTATTTGTATACTTACTATAGAAATTAACAAATACTCAGTAAATGTGTACTGATGATGTTCAGGGAAGTTTGCATCATATTTCAGGGTTTTCCTGAAATACTTTCTTGGGCTGGGGACAGCTCAATGTCTCATGTTTCCTTCTCTTTCTATGCAGAGATTTACAAGAAACTCACAAAAATACACTTTTTTATATTTTGGGACAAACCTTCTGCTGCACATCTGCTGTAAATATGGAAAATATTTGGATGTGAAGTTCACAAAAGAGAAATAAAAAGTCAATTTACATGCCTTTAGCTGCCATAACCCATCCAACAGAATAGTTTTTTTTCAGCATTTGGTTTTCAGATCAAGTTAAAATCTATTCTTAAAATTATTTAAGCTGTTATCTTCATACCCATCTGCTCACAACAGACTCATGTTCAGGCTGCTGTTTAATATACTGTATTATATTACATTGTTTAGCATATATCTTAGCTCCTTATACCGTTTCTTTTTTAATACTTTATATTTTTGCTATTTTTGGGTGTAACTGGGACCCTGAGCGCACAATTTTGTTCCACCCCATGTATCCGCATGCGATGTGAATGACAATAATGAACCTTGAATTGAATTACAAAAGCAATATTAAAAGAAATATTCATCATAACTTGAATTTCTTTTGCTTCTTCATGATGTTTTTTTTTTTTTTTCTTTAGCACCAAAACATGTTTGGTAACCTTCAAACTAAGCTAAATTAAAATAAAATAAACAATCCTGAAAAAGCTTCAGTGCACAACGGTCACTAAGCTTGTGTCACTAAAAAGACGAGTCTTTGTGGTCATAAAAGTTCCACAGAGGCTCAGTAGGTGGGTGGAAATGAGCGTGCAAGTATGCACGCAGGAATTTCAGAGGGTCAGAAGAGTTGCTTGGTCTGCCTGACGCCCAAATGTAGACGTTTTATTACTTGTTAGTTTAACCTTTATTATGATGCAAAGGATGTAAAGAACTCAAACTGAAAGGCAAAGCTTGTTGGTCCTGGAGGGTTGTGCCGGCTGTCTAAAGGAAATCCTGTCCATTTTCAAACACCTAGAGAAAAACACGGCTCCCGCCTGCATTAAACAAAACTTATCCAGCTAAGGACAAAAAAGCATTACCAATGGCTGACAAGTCTGTAGTTGTTACATGCCTTCCCAAAAACATGTTTCTATACTCGTGCTGTCAGTTTTAGCAGAACTAAAGATGATTTTGGCCTTGATGTGTGTCTTTCTGTGTGCTGGTGCAGCTCCCACTCTGCAGGACACTTATGCAACAACTGCACAAATAAATAAATAAATAAATAAAACACAAGGTCATGACAAAACAGGCACCTGCATTTTTTCAGTAACCCAGCAGCATATTCCTAAAGTAAGCTCAGGATTTCAGAACAACTTTAATACAGTTATATAAAAAAAATAAAACAGAGTGCACACGAGTAACTCGGGGATTGGTTGAGGGACCGTTAGACACACAAAAACATGGCTGTAGTTAACAGCGCTGGTTTACGACCATTTCCCCTGGATCCCCTGGCCTCCTGCTGTTTTACCAGCTCTCTGTGGAATTCCTGCCACACAGCAGGCACGCTACGCTAAATGAACACAGGTAAACAATTCAAAAAAGCAGATTAAAAATCAGATCGTTCTAGTTTAAATCGTAACACAGCAGTCGTATTTGTTCCGCTTCACTTTAGGTCTTGAAACACTTAATAAAAAATAAACTCCAGCAACAAAATCTTAATTATTAAGTCACAATAAACATATAAATGGTACTAAACTAAATTGTTTGGCTCTTATATAATAGCAACATAACATAAGTCCTCTGTTTGCCCCAGAGTTGAGTTGTTTTCCCTTCATGGGGTTCATCGTTGCAGACACATGTCCTGCTCACACCTGGAGACAACTGGAGTCTTTGGTCATTGATCAAAAGTGGACATGACATACTGAGGATGACTCATTCTACTGAGGCTCTCGTACTACTCTACTAAACAAGGTTTTCTGTGTATTACCAAGTAAAAACACCAGAAAATTCACATTACTTGCCCATTAGCTGCCCTTCTACCCATTTCTGATTCACACAATTAATAATTTTATTAAATAAAGCACACCCTATGAAGAACCAGCAGGAGCACACAAGGCAGCATAAATAAGATTTTTTTTTTTGCTACTTTAAGTCTCCCGCTCTGCACATAATGCATGAGATATTTAAATGTTTGTGACTTATGCAAATCTGCATTGTGCTAATCTAATAATAATTACGTCTGAGAGCAAGCTGCTGCTTGTTGCAGGAACAACACATCTACAAGCGTCTTGCTTGTTACCCACAGCTGCTGCCCCACATGTAGTTGCACATCAAGGAGTAAAATCACAAGATGTGCGCATATTTTATACATGTAGTCATTTAGCAAACACCTCTTTACAAAACACCGTAGAAGTGAACAACATTCAGACTGCGGTTGAAGCCCTGACGTTAGGGGAGTGGCGTTAGTGTTTGTTAAAGGTGTTTCTGAAGGAAAGAGAGTGACGCCCCTGTTCACACGTTCATGTCAAGTGTAAAACTGCATCAAGGAGACAAGACAAAGGCTGTGAACCCAGAAATAAAAAAACTACAGTAATCCCTAGCTACTTCATGGTTCGACTTTCGAGGACTCGCTCATTTGTGTTTTTTCAACGATCGTCAACTTTAATAATACTCACGTGATTGGGACAGTACAAGATAAAAAGTTAATGAAAAAGAAAAAAATACTTTGGACAGGCGCCACCAGTTTTCTTTCAATAAGCCTACACTGTTTTCTCATTCAAAAGAACTACACTACCCAGAAGTCAACAGCGCTTCCGGCTGCTGCTTTCTGCCAAAATGGAGGGAAAGTTTTGCAACACAAATCTACACCATCCATTAAGCTTAAATAATCCGGAAGCTTCCTGAAGCTCAATTATCCAGGTGCACCTGAACCTGGACAGGGCGGTGGGCTTCATCGCTGCAGGGTAGATCTGCAGAACTGGAACTAAGGTGATGGTTTGCAGAGCTGAGTACTCACATAAAATTTTGCAGTACTGTACAGTACATATATGTATGATGTTAAAATGGCATAGTTTTAAGAGTTTAGAACACTGCAAGAGTATGGGAACGGCTTGTAAGACTTAAACTATACATAAATACTAAAATAAATAGAGTACCTAGTTCATGGTTTTTCACTTATCGTGGTGGTGTCTGGAATGTAACCCCCATGATAATCGAGGGACTACTGTATTACTTTTG